GCGCCGCCCCAGCGAAGCGGCTGTGGCGGAGCTGGGGTCGGGGAGCGCTCGGCCCCCGCTGACTGAGACCGGGGGTGGCGACCGCCGTGCAGTGCGTGGGGGTGGCCAGCGTCTCCCGCCCCGCTGGTGGCGCTAGCGCTAACTCCGCGGGGCGGCGGCGGCGCCTCTCCCTGGGGAGGAGGGCTTGGGCCGTGCGGGCTGCCTCGGGCCCTGCCGCCTCACCCGCGTAGGTGCTGAAGCGGGGAACTCAAAGCCTTGTGTTCAGGATGCTCTACACGGCGAAGAGTAACGTCTCGTGCTGTCTCAGTTCGAGCTCCGAGCGTGGATGAAGCATGCGTTTCGATTAAGCCATCGGCTTTGAAGACAGTTCGTAAGGCTGCGTCAAAACATGGTAGTAATAAACGTAGCTCATAAAGCCTTCGAGGCAGTGCTCTCTGCTGGTTTTGAAAGCTATGCTTATAGCACCAGTCAGTTCTGGATTATAATTGATACTGTTGAAGTTCAGTCCTCTAGGCTGACTTGAAAGCTTTACTACAAATCAGGCTTTTTTTTCCTCTGTGTAGAGGTCTAAGTGTCCCTCATACCAGCTGACTCTTACGATCTCAAAAACAAGATTGAATGCTTTGCTTTCTGTTAAGTGATAAAGGTACTTGCAAATGTGGAGAGCAGGCTGTATGTTTTTCCTCAGCTGACAGATCAGGCTCTTAAGCCATGTTAGCGTTCTATCTTTCTAAACCAGTACTGTAGTCTCTGTGGAAAATACATTGTTGGTTACAAAATGCAAAATACAAACAAGAGTGACTTTATCAATCATTCTAAACGTCCAAAGTCCTTATTTTTCAAATTGCTGATATGACGGCCAATTGCCAGGAACACATACTTCTATACAAGTAGCATGGTTAGAGCATGCAGGGGAAGTAATGTCTTCTAGGAAGTAGGTTGACTGTTTCAATATACAGTTGCATTACAGAGTAATGTTTAGTAAACAAAGTGAAGGTAAAACTGGCTTCTGCGACGGATGCTTCATAATCAAACTAGTGGTATTGGTCAGTACCCTAGGCTTCTTTATAGGGAATGCTGCTATTCATAACTGAACTTGTTTACTGTCTTTCAGTGTAGATCTGTGCAAGTTTTCTAGCATGCGCAGGCATTAGTGTATGTAGTGTGTGTTTAATTAAACCTCTACAGACATGTGATGCTGCCAAGAGAACTTTCAAAACAAGTGCCAAAATCCCATCTGATGTCTGAAGAGGAGTGGAGACGACTTGGTGTTCAGCAAAGTCTTGGCTGGGTTCACTATATGATCCATGAGCCAGGTAAGTGTATCTTAACAGAATTAGATGAACAAGAGAGTCAAAAATATCAACTGCCTGGTGCTCAGCTGAAGTGTGTACTGCATAATTGCTCCTGCTGTGGAACCCAGCTGGAATTCACTACTGAATGTTGAGTCCTCTTTATCTCCTTGCTATTTTAGCCAATTGGCAACAAAGGCAACATAACAGCCTTTATTTTAAACCTTCACATCTTGCTCCCAGAACTGCAAAATGCTAGCCTTGTCCTAGGTATGTGTGGTCTATCAGTGGACAAAACATGCCAGACTGGAAACTGTTCCTACCTGTGCCTATAGAAACTGGCTTCTTGTGAGCTCTTGAATAATGTTAGTATCTCAGTGACTGAACCAAACTTTATGTAGCAGATCTTTAAATCATAAAGCTGACACTTTTTGTACAAAAACTTAATAGATGCTCATGTAGATAAGGTCCTGTATTAATGCTCTGAAAAGTCTACAGCAGTTTTTCACTCTAGTTATACAGCCTACTAAAAGCAGCACTTAAAACCAGTCTTTCACTTAATGGGGTGTGAAGCCCTAAAACTCCAACGAGGATGTACTGAAAACAGCTGTTCAAGGTAAGTTACCATTGACAAGCCTGACTAAAAAGTAACTGGTGATAGATGGATTGCAGCAGTGTGGAGTTCCAAGTTTCTGAAGAACCAGGTGAAGAAATTAGCGTAACCTTCCACCATTTCCCTTACCTGGGCACCTTGAATACTTCAGGCTTTTTTGGAGGAGTTTACAGTTAACTCAGAGCAATAATAATAATGTAAGCTGGCTGTACTAACTAGGGTGGATTTTGTTGATGCTTGACACCATGTACCTAACAAGGACAGCATCAGCAGTTTGTTAGTCTAAGTTACAGTAACAAAGCTCATCAAATAGCCCAATGTAGAGAGACAGAGTTAGTACCAATGCTAACTAAAAATACTCTGTTTTTCCAGTACTTCCTTCCTGTGAGTGTCTTAAGTTTATGATACTGGCAACATTTGGTATAAAACTCTCAAAAGCACCTGTTTTGACTGTTGTAAGGTTACTGCAAAGCTGGTCTGTAAATACTACACATAGGGCCGTGTTTGTGGACTTGACTTCTTAATCTGCTTATTGTTTGACAGCAAGCTTCAACTATTGTTCCAGTCTTCTCAAATGGAAGAAATCCCAGTAATCAAGACTTAGCTGACAGACTGACACTTTGTTCAATTTTATTTCCACAGAACCGCATATTCTTCTCTTCAGAAGACCTCTTCCAAAGGATGAGCAGAAATGAACCATTGTCTATAAATTTTCTCCTAAATCTTCTGGAACTATGTATATGAGTGTATATATGTTGGTAGTATTCAGTGAATACTTTAAAATGTACAAAACATACATCCATACCTGTGCATGAGCTGTATTATTCACAGCAACAAAGCTCAGTCAAATGCAATTCCAAGTAGGCTGCTATGGTGTTCAAAGAGTGATGAAGTTACCTTCTTTACTGTTAATGTAAGTGCCTATCTGACTTTTCAGTGAATTTTGTTTATTAAAGATTACGTATTGCATGTTCTGACTAGATGATCACTTGTTACCTGTGTTCAATAACTTTTGCACTCAGCTTTTCTGAAGTGTAGCATGTCCAAATCCAGTGGCTCACCTGTTTGCTTAGTAGAAGGTATAAAGAAATAAACTATTTTTAATGTTTTATAAAACCTAAATGTCTAGAGTTCTAATTCACCAGACAAAACAAATATTAATTGTATTAAAAGTTCTAATTCACCAGACAAAACAAATATTGTCTTAACATGTTAAGAGTACCTACTTAAGAAAAAAAATTAACTTAGTGAGCCTATTTCATTTCTCTGCAAGAATTATTTTGTCCTACAGGCCAATGTTTCTAACCCTGATTTGAATTGGGAACTGCAGGCAATCTGAAAAGCAAGCCGGCAGTGATAGGTAATTCTCAGACTGGTGTCTGGCATGCTCAAATTATGGGGCTCTGTAGTTGATATAGGTTATAACGGTATTAATTATTCTGCAATGACTACTTGTCATCCTATTTCTTACGAGGTGCCTGGTGATAGGACGCAAGGGAATGGCTTAATGCTGCGTCAGGGTTATTCACCGAGGGTGGTCGAGCACTGGAACAAGCTCCCTGGGGAAGCGGTCATGGCAGCAAGCCTGTCGGTGTTAAGGAAGTGTTTGGACAACGCTCTTGGAGATATGGTTTAACTTTGAGGTTGCCCTGTGTGGGGTCAGGAGTTGGACTTGATCTTTGTGTGTCGCTTCCAACTCAGGATATTCAATGATGACTTGGTATAAACTTGTCTTAAGGTGTTAGTAGTACTTAGTATTTCATAGAGATGTTTTTGTGCTTGTTTGATTTACTTTGGTAGTACCAGTTTATCTTTCTGCTGCAAACTTTATTAGTCTGGGGTTTTAGCCTGCACTTCTCATCTTGCATCCTGTTTTTTCTGGGAAGCTAGCTTAGAATCATAGAATAGTTTGGGTTGGGAGGGACTTCTAAAGGTCATCTAGTCCAACCCCCCTGCCGTGGGCAGGGACATCTTCAACTAGATCAGGTTGCTCAGAGCCCCGTCCAGCCTGACCTTGAATGTTTCCAGGGATTGGGGCATCCACCACCTCTCTGGGCAACCTGTCCCAGTGCCTCACCACCCTCAGCGTAAAAAATTTCTTCCTTATATCTAGCCTAAATCTACCCCCCTTTAGTTTAAAGCCATTCCCCCTTGTCCTGTCCCAACAGGCCCTGCTAAAAAGTTTGCCACCATCTTTTTTAGAAGCCCCTAATAAAACAGCTTGTACTCTGTCTTTGTGTAGGCAGTAGTGGTTTAGAAGAGTTGTCAAAGTAAACCGAGCACTTTTCATCTGACAAAAGCAGCTGCTGGTTGTAGGACAGTGTGAACTCAATTTCCTCACCATATAAAAGGTTGGGCCAATACAGTGAAACTCTGATCAGCCCTTTCTTAGGGAGTTGTGTGCCAGCAAAGGTGAGCTGCTGGGTGGACTTGATCTGACAAGTTCAGAGGCAATAAATTGCATCAGAATGATCACTGTGGTGTCTTGGGACCCTGTACTAGTAGCCATACAATCAGATTTTTTTTAAAAGGTGCTTCAGTACATTTGGTGTTTGGTTAACTGTATAGTAGTACTGGTGGTTGTGTCCGGCTCATCTCAAATGCAAGCTAGTGTTACATCTGTGTGGGATTTGGGAGGCCAACAAAAACAGGAACATCTGCATGTAGCTTAACTGATAAAGTACGTGCTCTCCCTGTGTAATGTGTGCTTGCGATTAAGGTTGTTATGGTGATGGATAGAGGTAAGTAACCTGCCAAATTTGGTGAGGAAAATAACCCTTGTGGTCTTTCCTCTAAAGTTGCTCGAGCTGTCTGTCTCGGTGGCGGTCAAATGGTCTGTAATAGGCTCTCAGTGCTGAAGCGTAAGACTTTACAGTCTTACCCTTAGAGCGGGGCTCTCCAAGGGCCACGCGGACGCCTTAATTAGAAGACCCATCGGCAACAATCTTGAGCTGTGCTTAAGCCCTGCTTTTCCTCAGGGCTTTGGCACCAGCGCCCTGGGCGTTGTCTCTTGATGTCCCGCTGCCATTGGCGGTCCTGAAAAGGCCGCCTGCTAATCTGTCGCCTGTAAGTGCCTACCTTTGTGCCCTCCTGTCCCTTCTCTTGGGGGACGGGTATCCGCTGCACACGACGGTAGGACGGCTCAGACGGGATCGATCCCCAGATGCTGTCTGTACCTGTGCCTTCAACTACTCGGCCGGGGCCGCTCTTGGCCCATGCGGTGGCATAGCTCGCCGGTTTCTCCAACGCGCAGCCGCAGTTTATGTGACCGCGCTGCAAACGTTGGCTGTTCTCTCAGAAAATCGTCCCGGGCT